CTGCGTCTGTGCCCTACGGCTTCTTGCACGTAGCAGGCACCCCATCCACCATGTGAGTGAGTCGTCCACCGTGGAACACGCAGCGGGAAAGCCCAAGTGCAAACCGAAGCTCTACGGTAACTGCCTAGCCTCTCTGAACTGCAGCGGCCCCGGCAGGTGTGAGTAGCGCTGGCCTGGGTGGCTCTAGTGACCAGGCCCTCTGCTGAGTCCCCAGCCCTCGCCTTGCAGCTGCCCCTAGCTGTGCTGGAAGCGGGCCTGGTGACAATGTGAGTCATTCTTAACCAAATGCACTTCCTCTGGTTTGCAGTGGGAGGAACCCCAGGAGCTCCATCTTTGGTGAACCAGCCCACCCTGCCCAGGACTCAGCTCAGCCTTCATCTGTTATGCTGTTCAAGTCCAACACTGGTCAACAGATGCCGGAGGCAGGTGACTTAAGCCTCAGCCTCTGGCTCTTGGCTCCAAACAGGAGGAAACAGCAGGCTGCAGCACCTCCCAGACCCCTCTCCATGATAGCAACCAGGCACCTGGCCCACACGGGTTCTCCCCTCACATCCACCCAGGACAGGTACAGTCAGTCGTGTCCCACTTTTACAAGTAAGGAGGCAACAAACTCCAGTTACTTGCCCAAGGTTACGAGTGTACATAAGAAGAGAGCAGAACAAACTGTAAAACACAAGCTACATCCATCTGTGAGGAACCCTAGCCTGCTGTCATCAAACTGGTGAGTTAAAAATTGTAAGGCCAATAGAAAAGGCCTTCTATAAACCTTAATAGAGAGCAACAATACCTTAATGAAGATAGATTACCCTGTCCAGTGCTAAGTGGAAAGGTCACAAGGACAGGCTGGTGATTTTAAAAGGCTGGTATAGGCTGGTATTTTTAAAAGCAAAAATGGATATGGAAAGAAAGAAATGTTTGTGGTGCCCACTTACAGACTGTGAAATGAGTGGTTTTTACGCCCTTTGGAAGAATGTTATCTGCACTTTAATTTTCATCAACGAAGATTTGATTCATTTGTAATTAAGTTTTTGCTTTAAATTTCAAAAACAAAGCAGAAGACAGCCTATGAAATGCAGAGATTGTGAATGTATAACGTTAATAGCCAACTCTTAAATTATGTCTTCTAAAATACGAAAAATTTACCATCACGTTAAAAACAAAACAGGATACAACCCTTAGTAGAGATTTAAGATACCCAGAAGCTGGAAGGAAGGCGTTAGGGCACGAGTGGGGCCGACCTCTACCATCTTTCAATCTCACGGCAATGAATTCCTGGGAATCACATCCTAACTGCCCGCCCTGCTCCCAAGAGAGGGCACAGGTGTTCTCTGTGGATTCCGTCCTTGAAGGGGCAGAGCACGACAGGAGCCGCTGTGTGTAATGGTGGCTGTCATACAGTCCTGATGCTCACAAGTGTGTGCTCACAGAGCTGCTTCCCAGCAGACTAAGCTCTAGGAGCACGGGGACCACCTGCGCGTAGCACCCAGCACAGCGTCTGGCACCAACTCTAACTCAGTAAGTATTTGTTAAACAAACAAAAGAAAGTTTATATGCTGGGTATGGTGATGCACACCTGTAATCCCAGCTACTCGGAAGGCTGAGGCAGGAGGATTGCAAGTTCAAAGCCAGCATGGGAAACTCAGTGAGATCATGTCTTCAAAAAGAAAACCAAACAAACAACACATAGAAAAGGGCTGGGACTATAGTTCAGTACTTCTCAGTATCAACAATAAAAACAAAGTTTGCATGGTTGATTTATTAAATGAGAAGTGAGCAGATGAATGGATGGATGGATGGATGGATTGTGAATTCTGATCTGGAATTAGAAGAGTAGCTGGATTTTCCCAAAGGGGACGGTCATCCCAGCCAAGGGCCACTCACAAGCTGGACAAGTGAGCTCAGGCCCCAGCACCATGACCTCAGGTGCACCCGTGGGTGTGACCACATGGTGCTGTGAATCTGGGGAGCAAGGCTCAGGGTATAAGGAGAGACAAGGAGAAAGATAACTATTACTCAGGCTGAGAGTGGGCCAGAAAATGCCCTGAGCTGCACACCTAGCCTTTCTCTAGACCTCAGACTCCTGGGGCTGCAAGGACTCCCTCCTCTGACAAGAAAGCTTGCATGGAGTCTGTGCCTCTCCCCCTGGCCAGGGGAAACCATCATGCTGGTTTCTCTGCTGGGTGACCTGCCTTGGGCCCAGCCACTCCAGCTCTAAGAACTTCCCTTTTATTAAGCAACCCAATTAGCCCCTCTGACCTCCACTCTCTGCAGCTCTCTGAGCAGCTGGGTGTTAAATTGCAGATCCAAGAGTGGAAATTGACTTTGTGTCCACGGTGGCTGCAGACGCTGACACCACTGATGGAGGGCAGCGAGGAAGCCCTCGTCTGTCAGGACAGCTTGCCAGAGCCACTCTGAATTCAGGACCGCAGTTCTGCAACTTACAGAGGCCTGCTGGATTTCACTCATTTCAAATAAATAACTCGCTCAGGGGCTGTCCTAAAATGCACCTCACTACGCCGCCCTGGCCATCACCTCAGGTGGAACCTGCACCAATCTGTGCCCCGCACATCACCCGGGACAACACTCCAGGCTCATTCCGCAGCCTCCCCGTCATTTGTGTGCTTCGAGAAGAGTGACAAGTTCAGTGGCCCAAGGCTTTTTCCCCCAAATGGCTGCTTCCCTTTTGATGTCTCAGGCTCAGGCGCAAGCATCATCTCTGATAGGTGTCTGGACCCCCACATCTGTGAAGCCCACCTCCCCCTCCGTGTCCTTGTTTTTCTCTTGCCTGCACAGGCTCATCACTGGCTGCAAACCTTACAGTCCTGGGGCTGCACTCACAGCTGCATCCCCGAGTCCCCGCACGTGGAATTATACATTAAATACCCTTTGAATGAACAAGAAACTTCCCTTGGCAGAACAATTAATAATCTGGGAAAACCCAGGTCTAGGGTTTCAGAAGACACACCCAGCTTCCCGTCCCCCAGGGGACAAAGATGACTTATCCAACAAACCACCAGGCTGCAGGGCTGCAGCCCCCAGTCAGGGCAGCCTGGCCTGCCTCTGTGGCGGGGCAGCCAGGTAAGCGCCACACCCCTTTTGGGGGAGGAGAGAGGCAGCTGAGGCAGGCTTCCCAGGGTCACAAAATAGAGAAAGCACCTCACAGGAAGTGACGTATGCAGCCTACAGAGCATGAAAAATCCTCACACTTCCTCAGCGGGTGTGTCCTAGAGCTCCCAGGACAGGACCCACGGGATCTTCCTCAGAACCTGATGCTGGCCTCTAGGGACAGAGACTCAGCTCCTTCTGCTAAAGCTCCAATAGCTGAACCAGTGCTGGCACATAACAGGCACTTTGGCAAGGGTGGGCCAAGCAAGGTCTGAACCTGGACTCTGGCAGTCACACTTCCTGCAGTCACAATGCTACCACCTCCAAGCTCCAGTCCTGGGCCAGACGGGCAGGGCTCTGCAACGTGGTCTCAGCAATCCTCTCTATACCCTGCTCACAGTACACAGAAGCCAAACGTGGCCAGAGGAAGTTAAGCCCTTGTTTTGGGGTCCAACCTAGACTTTCTCAGTCCTCATAGTCTAGCCATAAGTTTGAGTTTGTTTGTTTATATTTGTCTTTTTGTTTGTTTGTGACACAGGGTCTCTCTGTGTAGCCCAGGCTGGCCTCGATCTCACAGCGATCCTCCTGCTTCGGCTTACAAGTGCTGGGATTACAGGCGGGCACCACCACACTTGGAGAAAGCTTAGTTTATTTATGATGAAAACAAGGGTGTTCTCAAAGAAACTACGCATCACCAGCTGAGTGTGGTGACACGCATCTGTAACCCCAGCATTCTAAGAGGCTGAGGCAGTAGGATCATAAGTTCAAGCCAGTCTGGGCAACTTAGCAAGACCCTATCTAAAAAGGGCTGGGGATGTAGCTCAGCACAAAGCCTATACATCACCTTAGCTCCTACCGGGGCAAGACAGATCAGGACCTTGTTACCTGTCAGGCCCTGCCTACGACATGCAACTGTGACAGGTCATTCTCTGGCCCTCCATCTGCCTACCTGTTTAACCAGATGATTCAGTTCTTAGCTTTTGGGAATCTAAAATCTTGTCACTCATTTAAAACCAAATAAATATTAATGTGATATTATGTTGTGACAGCTTTCCAGAGTTTGTAACAACACTTTTACATTGATTACCTCATCTACTCCTGCTGTTGAACTAAGACTCTCTTTACAGAGCTGAAAACAGTGACTCAGAGTTGAAGTGACTTTATTCACTCTCACATCGCAGCAGGTAGGTGGTTAGATGAGGGTCAGGACCTCAGCCCTAGTCCAGTAGGCTTTCTCCTCCCAACTGGGCTGCCAAAAGGAGGGGAGGCCTAAGAAGGAAGGGTCTGCGGAGAAAAATAAGCTCACCACACAGGCAGTAAGTAAAGGAAAAAAGCGGGGGGCAAGAAAAGACTCAAGAGCTGACCCGCAGCTCACAGGAAAGGGAACACAAGTTGAATCCAACCGTGTGGGAAAGGCTGCAGATTAAACCTCCACAGACCCACCAGACTGACAAAGATCCAACAAATGCAACAGCATAACGTATCGGGCAGGGAGAGGAAACAAGTATTTCACGTTCACATCTAGGCAAACATAAACTGCTATGACTTTATGAAGAGGAACGTGGTCATGTTCATCAAAATTTAAACCCCTACACCATCAGTACCTCTGAGGCCATCACATACGCGGTGTGCAGACTGATAATATACGGCAGACCTGCCACACAGAGCTAGCAGTACCCCAACTGCCCCATAGAGGACTAGTTGATCAAACTCTAATCGGGCCAAAAACTGAAGCAGATCTTTACCTACTGAGATGATAAGATCTTTTGATAATAGTAAGGGGGGAAAAAACAAGGTGTACAACAGTGTTCTTAGTTTGCTACCGGTTATGCAAAAAAAAAAAAAAAAAAATGGAGGCAAGAGGTCAGACCACCTATCTGCGGGTGTGTGCATACCTTATCTCTGGAAAAGAACACAAGAGAACTTTGCACAAACCAGGCACGGTGGTGCACAACCGCAATCCTGGCCGCTCAGAAGGCTGAAGCAGGAAGATAGCAGCTTGGACAACTTTGTGAGACCCTATCTGAAAATAAAAAAAAAAAAAAATGGGCTGAAACAAAACACACACACACACACAAATAAAATGAAATAAAATAAAATGGGCTGAGAACGTAGCTCCGTGGTAAAGCACTTTCCTACAAGCTTGTAGAATCTAGGAGGTTTAAACCCAACACCTCAAAAAGAGGAAGAAAGGGAAGAAGGACGGAAGGGAGGGAGGGAAGAGGTTATAAAACTGCTCTGGGGATGGAAACATAAGAATACTTTCCATTTACAACTTTTTAAACTAGGGCCTGCATTACATTTCAAAATAAATACAAAAGCAAACCCATCTGTTTCTTTCCCACTGAGCCATAGTCTGTACTGAAACCAGTATGAAAATTAGCTGGTTCAGCAGCCGGATCTTTCCAGGGCAGAGGGCCGCTCCCTAGGATCTCACCCATCTCTTCCCGCTGGGTCTGTTCCAGTTGCAGCCGGAATCACAAGGTGGGCCAGTTAACCCTTTAAACAGCCCAGCCGACCAGCAGATTCTAAATCAGGAAGGCTGGTTTTAAATGCCTCCCTACCACAGCGACGTTTATCTTGCTCTGTACATACTAACAAATGTACAGTAGAGGCACAGACGCGGTGTGCACGGTGTGGGCAGGGGTGACTGAGGCCCGTGGTGAAATGGCTGCCACCCCTGTGTGACAGTTGGAGGTGTGAGGCGCTGTCTAAGGTGGGATTCTCTGAGGTAAAACAGGCAGCAACAGCAGGAGCTGTGGTGGACGCAGGATGGTGAAGCAACACACAGCCTTACCTTCTTCGGGACTCCAGGTCTCAGAATGAGCTTTGGGATCTGTTGTGTTCTCACAGCAACACAGGATTATTCCCCTTTCGTGAAGGAAGAGGCTCATAAAGGTCACCTGGTAGGAAACAGTTAAACTATGGATGTCTAGTTCTTTCCCACTCATGGTTACAGGCAGAAATCAGCCCATATATGGGGGGGCTGAGAGGCAAGGACAAGTGAGCCCCAAGAGGAAAGTGCGGCTAGAGGCGGAATCTATAATTTTAATTTTTTTTTAAATATTGTTATTGGGCCGGGGATTTAGTTCAGTGGTTCCGCTGCCTGCCTCCCTAGTGCAAGATCCCGAGTTCGATCCCCAGTTTCCAGGAAAAAAAAAAAGTTATTTCTGGGCACTGCAATTATTTTTATTTACTTTTGGGGGGGCCTATTTGCATTCCCTCAAATTTCAATAACTTAACATCTACCACTTTTTTAACAAGAAAAAAATACAACTTAGGGGCAGGTTGGGGTGTAGCTCAGTGGTGAAGCATTTGCTTAGCA